TCCCGGCCACGATGCCGCGCCGGCTCGCGAACGCCACCAAAATGTTTTTGCGCTCTCTTGCGTCAGAACTCACGGCAAGCACATCATGCTGAACTGCAAGGAGGTGGGCCGCAAGCCCCCCACTTTTGGGGACGCCTCCCTCATCGCCAGTGAGCTGCTCAACTCCGGCTACGAGTTTGACCAGGGAGCCGTCATCTACAACCATTTCAGGTCGAGCGCACTTTGACTTTCTCCGGCTGAAACCTCCATTTTAAAAAAAGCAAAAAAACACAAGTTACTTTTTTTGCGCTCCCATGTTGCGGTACCGCACTGAATGTGCGTCACTGTGAATCCCGAGTTGCAAGCCGGCGTTGACTTGTGCCGGACGTTTTCCTCACGCAGATCCGTCATCTCCTACAAGACGGACCGGAAGTCCCTCTTTTCCAACGACGTGGTCGCAAACGCGGGTAAGGTCTTGGGTCACCCCGGTTCCCGTCAAACATTGCGATGCTGAAACTCTTGCCTGGCAACCGCAGAGACCATGGCCGTGTACGATGACATCGACGCCGACGTGCTGAGGAGCTACCAGGAGTTCGCCATGGTCAACGTCATCTACCTGGCGCTGCGTGAGTCGTCCACCAGCGAGCAGAGCGCCAGGATGACCGCCATGGACAGCGCCAGCAAGAACGCTTGTAAGCCGGGCCCTGAGAAAAAAAAAAATCCCCAAAAAACGACACGCCGCACAATGCAGGCCTGCCTTGCGCATTTCGTAGGAGTCCCACAAGGTTTGATTTGGGTTCGGTGTCCATGTCAAGTACATACCACACAACAACAACAGCAACCAGAGTTCCCCCAAATTCATGAAATGCTACCTCTTCTATTGATCTTGTCTACGAACATAGGCAGTGACCGATTCTTTGTGTTTTTTATTTTTTTCCTTCCCGCTCCTTCCTTTTGATGGACATCCCGCCCGGTCCTCAGCCGAGATGATTGACAAGCTCACCCTAACCTTCAACCGCACCCGACAGGCCGTCATCACCAAGGAGCTCATTGAGATCATCTCCGGAGCCGCCGCTCTGTAAGTTTCCGTCTTCATCATCATCATCATCATCATTGCCGTCGTCATCAAAATGTTCTAATGGTCTTGCGCGCCTTGCATCCACCCGCCAAATTCAGGAATTGAAGCTTGCAGGAGGTAACCTGGTAGAATGTGCTTGGCAGTTGGTTAGCTGACTTTAGCCATTAGTCGAGTCGTCACTCACGCTCTTTTTTTTTTTTTTTTTAATGTTTTGTATTCTCTCTTTGCAGGTAAGCGGCGAAGCGAGACGAGACAGATGTTGACACAGAGGAGTCTAGTGACGTTTATGCTTGTGTTTGTAAAATATACTGAGAGAATAAAGATCTTACACCCTCTGCTCAACTTGCTTTTTTTCCAAAATTTTGCAAATTTTGTTGTCGTTATAGTCGGACTGGCCAAACTTAGTTCACATGTGTGTCAAATAGTTACAAGTAACAAAAATCATGCTTGCTCATGGATCGTTCATTTAGTTGCACATAATTGACCTATTTCTCCATTGTGAGACAAAGTTTTTCTTATTACAAAATGAACACAAAATATTTTTTCTGTGTCATGGACAACATTTTTGTTCAAATGAATCAACTCTCATAGTTTGAAAAATTCGATTTGAGTCGGCCTGGGCAAACTTACAGTTAACACGTAAAATGGTTTATTGGGGAGATGATGCTAATTTGTATTTATAATAATACGTTTACCAAGAAGTGAATAGATAGTTTTTATTTACAACCAATTTCAGAAAGGCCATTCTTTGACCACCCCTGCATCAAATGGCAAACTCAAACTGTTTCATTTTTTTGTACTCATGACACCTCTGGAGGAAGGTCAATGTGCACTGTGCTGTACAACAAATAGTTGAATTGTTGTCTTTTTAATAACAAAAGCGAACGGCTGTCAGCACACTTGTCAAACCACAATCATGAACATAAATAAGCGTTATTACCATCAAGGCGGAGTTCCTCCTCAAATGTTCTTCGAGTTGCAGTTCTACTTTTGGCCACTGGGAGGCGCTGTCGGATCGTAAATGCGTCCACAATTGGAACAACAGTTCAAACGCGCCCGTAGTCGGTGAGTAAAAGATTCTTTTTCACTGAAATATATAAATATGTTACGTTTTCATAGAATTTAGTGTAGAGTTACATTGATTGTGCATTTGTGTGCGCCAATGGCCTTGCATGGAGGCTCAAGTGTGTTCCGTGTACTCTGGTCTCTGTTTGTTATGCCTGGAGTGGGTGGTGACGTCAGAGGCATGCGACAGAGTAAACAGCTGTTCTGTGTTGGCGAGATCTTAGAAAGCCCCTTAAAAAGATCTTAAACAATGTGTTTACTGTCTGCACACAAAATAGAAACTATTTGGAGCAAATTTGGTGCATTAAGTCTCTATGTTGCATTTTGGAACTTTTGTGCAGTCAAGCGCACTTTGTGGCTCAAAAAGGAAGGCGAGAAGGAAGGAGGAGCGCCCTCTCGGACTCTAAAGCAGTACTGCAGGCCACACCACACCTGCGCCCGCTTATTTTAATAAACTTGGCGCATGACCTGGTTCCCTCTGAAGGTAAATTATTTTTTTTTGTATTGTGAATTTATATAGTAATATTAAAAGTAAATTGAATGATTTATTTGATATATTTTTCATTTAGTGAGGTGCTCCAGTAATTAGATGTGGCTCAAGAGTCAAATCATGGAGAGTTTACGTCTGCTTTTTGGGTAAGTTCTACTTCGTTCCTTTGACATGAATTTAATTGAAAGGGATTCCAATTTAGTTTTCACAATCATGTGGTGTTAGATTGCGTGTTAAGACCATGACGAGATCAATCCACAGTTCAGTCCCCACTGTTGTTATTGTGTCTTTTCCCGAATCGCTTTCTTTTGTTTCGTCATTGGCCAAAATGGTTTTAGCGCCTCTTAACCTGTAGGATTAAACGAATTTTGAGATGCGAGCCATTGCTTTGGCTATTTTATTTTATGTTTTTGCTTTGACTTGAGATACGAGCACTGTATGGTGGCAGGTTACTGTCAAACTAAACAAGACTGAAAGAATGACACGTTGGTGTTTGGAGCAACTACGTCTGCAAAAAAAAAAAAAAGTCACTTCATCTTCATGCAAACACGCAATGCAAAACTCCATAGACAGTATGCGATGTTGTTATAATCCTTTTAAGCCATGGATATTTGAGCATACAAAAAGTTATCAGCTGTGTGTTTCATTTGGACAAAAGTAGTGTGTCGCCGCTATCTTGTGGTGTCAAAAGAAACTTGTCAATTACTCTATTGGCAGTTTTTTTTTTCTTTATGTGGCAGGCCCATGTTCTTGTGCTGTATGTTCCTGGAAAAATATTGCTGTATTAATACAAAAAAAAGAAGATCTATTCATGTCATGTTAATTTGATAAGACATCACAATGCTAATTAAAAAAAAGGGGTGGGGTGGAGTCATTGGTTTCTTTTGTTTGTTTTGTTTGTGCCAATGCCAGCATATAGGCGCACACTTTTGAATAATCCTCCAAAGTCCAAAATGTATTGCACACGATTTTGTATTGCACCCAGTTTGAGGACCAGTGCGCTCGTGGACGTCGCAGTGGTTGCAAAGGAAAACATTTTCTGAAGATTATGAATTGACTCATTGACAGAATATTGACATAAGTGTGTACGTGCGCGTGTGTTGTGCTGCCAATCAAGTGTTGGGTTCCAGAATTTCTGGCGCTATGATAGATGGCCCGGCCCAACCTCGGAGCCCCCGACCCTGGATGGATGGATGCATGTCCCCCCCACACTTTGAAGTGTGTGTGTGTGAGTGTGTATGGCCCGATGTCAGGGTCCCGCTGAGCAAAGTGGCCCCCAGCCTTTTCCTGTCCAGACCACACGTCTAACCAAAACCCAATGTGTGTGTGTGTGTGTGTGTGTGTGTGTGTGTGTGTGTGTGTGAGAATCATTGATTGCACACAGAGTGAAGTTGCAAATTTGTCCAAGATTTGCACATTTTTTAGCAATCATTCATCATTTGCTGATAAAGCTCAGTCCTTTGGTGTTTTTTTTTTTTTTTTTTTTTTTGTGCAAGGCGATCTGAGCACAATTGAAATGGTTGTCAAAAGAGGTCATATGGGTCCTGGTAAAGCTCGACGGCGGCCTCCCCTCAAAGCCGCACTTATAACTTGGGCTCACGTCCTTGAAATCTTCCTGGTAACCATTTTCCAGACGATGACTTCCGTATCACTTCCTTATAAGCCGTCCTCACTTCCTGATACTTCGTCCCTTGCAACCCGTTGTCCGATTACGTTCACTTTTTTTCTCTTCAGGCCTATAAGCTGTGATCTCACCCTTCTAACCGGTGATCACTCCCTCATAACGTTGATCGGTCACTTCAAATGACTCCTTCATCCCCTGTGTTGATTTCCTCAGTGTGGCCTTTCAAAGCAGTGGCCTCCCCCTGCTTGATTTCCTCAGAATCTTCCTTCGAATCGGCGATCGCTCGCTTCTAACTCCGGTTCGCATCCTTCTCGTCTTCCTTATAAGCCGCGATCGCTCGCTAATAGCTCTCCAAAAACTGCAATTCCTCTCCAATCCTTTTCGGGCATTGATCTTATGATAGGTGTCGCGTACGCCGGGGAAGAAAATAAGCGGTAAAGAAAATCCACCCCCCACCCCCCCCACCCCCCGCGCCGCCGCCGCCGCCGTCGTCGTCTCCCTCGGAGTGTCTGCTGCCAGCAAGCCGGCGTGTTTGTCGGGCGCGCGGGAGATTAGAGACACCAATGACAAGCGCGGCGTCTGATAGCGTATCCGCTCTGAATTACAGATCCGGCCTTTTTTCAAATGATATTTTAAATAGTCGCCGCGGGCCGCCACTTCTCATTGTTATGACACTAGTAGCACATTTGGGCGGGAGAAGCCGCGGTTGGCGCTTATTTAAATGAGGGAGGCGAGAGAGACGCGGCCGCGCGCGCAGTGGCAGGAATGAAAAGGAAGTCTTGTGAAAAGGACAAAAGAGAAAGGACAAATTGTAATTAGTTAGATTTTTTGTGTGTGGAGTCCATTAAGTGTTTGGAGCGACGAGGCGAGTCTTTGATTGCCTCGCTGGCGTGTCGCGCCTTCGCTCATTTTGATCACTGAATTAATGCCACATTCCCTCGCTAAAAAAAAAAAAAAAAAAGGGGGAAAAAAAAAATATTTTTTTTTCCCAACTGACAGACATGTCAGGAAGGTGGGGGGCGGGCTGTTGCAATGGCGTCAGCGGGGGCTGGGTGGCGCTGTTGGCCCGCCCGTCATGGCACCTCTTTGTGCTCAGGATGGAGGGGACAAGGCCCCCTCCTCGAACCCGCGCTTCATCTTCACAAGGCGTGGAATGAAAACCTCCAAGCGTGTTGTCCCTCGTCGGCTAAATGATGAATTAGCACACGGACGCTAGCATGCAGCGCACCAGCGAAACGTCAAAGAAAAAACATTTCCATACATGCCGCGAATGCCACGTGCTTCTTTTGCGTGTGTTTGAGTGCGGGTGATACACACGCACGCAGCGGCGAGTGGGCTAATGGTGCCTGTTGTTTGTTTACTTGTGGCTAAACGCTGCGTGCGATGGAGCCACGAGAGAAGAAGTAGACAAACAAGCTTCCTGTCTGCCATTTGCATTTCGCCGTCGCGCCGGCGGCAACAAAGCGGATGCTAGCACCCGCGCTAACGCCGCGCTACTCCAAAAGACCCGTGCCAACCTCACCCGGATTTTTTTCGTCCGTCCTTTTCGCTTTTTCCGTTCTTCCCATTTGTTTGGCTTCCTTTGCTAGCTCCTCATTTCCTTCCTTTCCTCAAGCCTTGCCTAGCGCGTGATTCCCCTTCTTTCCCTTCCTTGTCGACCACCTCGTTGGCTTTCCCGTTCGTCCTTCTTTCTTTCACCTTCCCACCACTGTTCACCCCCCTCCCTCCCCAATGGTTCCCCTTTGCTTTTCTCACGTCATTCTCCGGACCCCCCCTTCTGCACCCTTGCTCGTGCATCCTTTCCTACCTTGTAATTCCCTTTTTGTTTATCTTCCATTCCTATATTGGGACTTCATTTCCTTCACGCCCCCTGCCCGTTGCCTTCCTTTAGCATCCTTTGCTAGCCTTTCATTTCCTTTGCCATCCCGCAGATAAGAAGAGTGAGTCCACCGGCACCGGCGGGAGGATATTCCCCCCCCAAAAGATGACATACATGATGAAATAAACACGCACGCACGCACGCTAACATTCAGTTCCGTACAGCAAAGCGGCGGAGCTCCCGCAGGCCCCGGAAAAAGAAAAAAGCAAAAGCCATTAAATCCGCCATTTTTCACCTTGGCTCGCACATTGTCACGGATCAGAGGCGAGAAGAAAATGACTGGATGGCGATGGAATGGAAAGAAATGTGTGTTTTCACATCAGGCACATGTACATTTTGACGCTTGATGTGCCGTGATGGGGGAGGGGGGCAAAAAAAAAAAAAAAGTGGCGGAGGGCTTTTTATTGTTCCGGCGGCGCTGCATACATTGGGTGCAGTTCACCCTCGTAAGCAAGGTGCAAAGTGTCGCATCTGACAGCGTGTGAACAAACCCGCAGCCCGTGCGGGTTTCATCGAATTGCTCTCCGTTGACGATGGCGCCCGAGGCCCAAGCCGCAACTTTCGTGCTCGTAAATATTCAAGCCACTTTTTGTTTTTTTTTTAACCTCGGACTTTTCCCAGCGTTCGCGCAGTCCGGCGAAAATATTCACGGCCTCCGCCGGGCGGCATAAAGACGGCGACCTTTGACCTCTGACATTTCATTAACCGCGCCGGCGTGCCTGCGTGTGTTCGTGCGCGTTTGTCTGTGCGGCGACGCGTGAAGCCGAGCTGGACCGAAGCTAGCGATCCTGTTCACGGTTGACGGTGCGTTGGTCGCCGCGTTGCCAAAATCGTTCCGTGACGTCACGGAGCCTCAATCTATTTTTTGCCCCGTCGTCACGCCCGTGTCGTCGTCGTCTCGCCGGACGTCTGTCGGCATTGCGCGTCGGGCCGCGCCGACTTTCTGACATATCGCCGGCTGCCATCAAGCAGCCGGCGATACGTCGGGGGACAAAAAGTGTGTTGAAAACGGCCCGGCGCTTCCGAGGCAGGTGTGCGGGGTCACAATTGCTTTGAATGGCTCCTTTCATGGTGATTGCTGACACAGACCAAACAAAAACACCCTACTTGTTACGTACGGCTTTGTTGTGCAAAGTCCGTTAGCTTCGTGCTAAGGCGTCATTCGAATGACCCGAGATGGAAAACGAGCGTGGATGCAACACATGCAAACAGCACCGTGCAAAACTCGACTGTAGAGCGGGATAGCGATTCCGTGATTGGAAAATGTTCATTTGGCAACGCAATTATTTCATGAAGGCAAGTCTCAGGCGAATGCGATATCAAGCCTTAAAAATCTGCCGTTTAACCGCGGCCGACAACCGGCGAACGTCAACGTGGCGGCGGTCGGCCGTACATCCGGTCGCAAGCGGCTTCCTCTTTTTCGCGGCGGCGTGTCAGTCCCAAAGTTGACGGAGTGTGACGCCACGTAATTGCTTTGCGGAACCTCACGCCGTCGATATGAATAATCTGTCAGCCGAGGTGGAGGCCGCCGTGGCAATCGCCGGCGTGCACCGCCAGAGCGGCGGAGCGCAGCGTGAACCCCCCCCCATGAAAAACATATTTGGACTTTCCTTCTTGGCCACACACATGCGCACACGCGCTCC